AGAAACTATCGGTGTAAATCAGAAAGCAATCACAAGAAAAAGCAGCACACAACTGCGAGTCTCCCACGAAACTAGCCGGGAAGGTTAACCTGGATAACAAAAACCAGATGAAGTCGGATGTGACGACCAAGCATCGCAGTTATTCTGCTTCTTCTTCTTTGTTCACCAGCTGTAATATCCGGCGGAAGGAAAGTCCTGGCTGTTTGTCCATTTGGACTTTAGCTTTGGGCAAGAGCCTGAGTATTGTGTGTGAAACCGTTTTACTGGCTTATTTGTGTGCAGTAAGTTGTGGCTTGCATGGCAGATGCATGCCAGCTTCGAAGGAAGCCCCCAGTGAGTCGACTCTTACGACATGCTTGTTGGGGAGGCAGTTTGTCTATTCTTGTTTTCCCACAATGAGGACTTGGAACCCACACGGGGAGCAGTTGAGCTGCAAACAGACACAACGCGTTCACGTCACGAACGACGCAGAAGAAATATTCCTTGTTTCTTATAGGAGCACGTGGGACATTTTGATTGTCTCTTTTAGGAGCACATAAATTGTATTGATTGTCTCTTTTAGGAGCACATAAATTGTATTGATTGTATCTTTTAGGAGCACATAAGTTGTATTGATTGTCTCTTTTAGGAGCACATAAATTGTATTGACTGTATCTTTCAGGAGCACATAAGTTGTATTGATTGTCTCTTTTAGGAGCACATAAATTGTATTGACTGTATCTTTCAGGAGCACATAAGTTGTATTGATTGTCTCTTTTAGGAGCACATAACATAAATTGTATTGTATTGATTGTCTGTAAATCTTTCTTTCAGGAGCACATAAGTTGTATTGATTGTCTCTTTTAGTATTGACTGTATCTTTCAGGAGCACGTAAGTTGTATTGGTTGTCTCTTTTAGGACCACATAAATTGTATTGATTGTATCTTTCAGGAGCACATAAGTTGCATTGATTGTCTCTGACAGTAGCACATGGGTCGTATGGATTGTCTAAGACAAGAGCACATAAGTGGTATTGATTGTCTCTTCAGGAGCACATAAGTTGTATTGGTTGTCTCTTGACAGTAGCACGTGGGTCATATTGATTGTCTCAGACAAGAGCACATAAGTTAAGGGGTATTGATTGTCTCTTACAGCAGCACAAGGGTCGTATTGATTATCTTCTACAGGAACATATAGGCAGTAATGATTGTCTCTGACAGGAGCACATCGGCATCATTCGCTTTAGCATGCTTTTAATGTGTATAGTATTAAAACAAGTAATAGTCGTGGTAGTGGTGGTGGTTGTGTTAGTAGTTGTAGTATTAGTAGTAGTAGTAGTAGTAGTAGTAGTAGTAGTAGTAGTAGTAGTAGTAGTAGTAGTAGTAGTAGTAGTAGTAGTAGTAGTAGTAGTAGTGGTAGTGGTGGTGGTAGTTATCACAAAAATATCTTGTTCAGCCTTTAGGGTTATAACTGGGTTATAAAGTGTTCCCTGAGTTCTAAAAAAAAAAAAAGAAGAAGAAACGAAAGAAGAAGAAGAAGAAGAAGAAGAAGAAGAAGAAGAAGAAGAAGAAGAAGAAGAAGAAGAAGAAGAAGGAGGAGGGGGAGGAGAAGAAGAAGAAGAAGAAGAAGAAGAAGAAGAAGAAGAAGAAGAAGAAGAAGAAGAAGAAGAAGAAGAAGAAGAAGAAGAAGAAGAAGAAGAAGAAGAAGAAGGAGAACAAGAAGATGTAGACAAAAATTCCACTTTGCCCTCAAGCAAGAGAACCAAACCATTTCTCAGTGGTGACAAGAGATAGTCGATGCCTACCTCCCTACCTCTTGCACAACGCCTTACTGATTTGTTAAAGACTGGTTTGCATTTTATAACTAAAGTTTACTGTGGGCTTTGAGTAAGTCATTCTCATTCTCATACCAACCTTCGTTAGTCAATGTTTATGACGTTCACGTAAGGTTACACGGAAACACTTTTGCTTGCCTTATAGGCCGGACAAAACAGGCACTTATAAATGGAGAAATGTGTTAGCATGTGAAGGGATAAGTAGCACTAGAGAGTGGTAGTTGTGGAGGGGTATGCTAGTCACGGTCATCAATATGAGCCGTGGCAAATTTTATTTGCTTCTGCCAGACTGTGGCCGGTGCATTTTTGCTCCATTTGTAGACTGGAAGGATAGTTTCATCGCCTAGCTTCTGAGCTAAGCGCATGGCGTGACACTGTGAGCTGCTGATTTCATTTGGAATGTTTTTCTACTGTGACTAACGTGTTAGTGTAAATTGTAGATTCAGAAAATGGCGTGATGCCCGTTGTCGCAATATTGGTGGTGCCATTATGTGATTAAAACTGATCGCGTATGCAACTTCTGATCTGTTGGTAACTTGTGCTACCATCCATGATGAACTGCATTACTAATGTCAAACTGTTTGTGTTAGCACGTCGGATGGCTCCCGTATGCTTTTAATGCGTGTGTATGCTAGTGCATATGCTGAGACAGCTGTCTGTCAATCTTTCCACAAGGACTGTGATAAACATTCTGTGTGTTTTTCGTTGGCACAGGAGCGGAGCAACTATGGGAGCAACTATGGGGTGACCCGTTTGCTATGAAGCTGAAACTAAGATTACCAGATTTGCCAGTCCGCAAAACACCTGTAAATTGACAAGGAAACAGCTGACAATAAACTTTATTGTTTTTCTACTTCACGCCAGTCTGAGTTTTTAAATTATATCTGACGATTACAAAATATTAACCAGGCTTTTATAAACGAACAGGGAAAGTGTAGTCATGTGACCATATGGGCGTGTCCAGACAATTGTAAACAACGCCACAACAATTTTTTTTGACATCGTCTGTCACGATTAAAACAACACAATGCCGCGAGCAACAATAGCTTCACGGTAATGCCTGCATTTCTGGTAGCTTCGGTTCTCGACGCAACCATTAACTTGGTCTGATGTTTCAATGTTTGTATTACTGCATTTTGTCGACACACGCACTAGATAAAACCTTGACTAGCTAGACCCAGCCGCTGAGCCACGCTACTCTCTAATAATACTAGTTTGCGATGAATTATCGATCATGGGCTGAAAAAAAAGGGGGGGGGGGGCGGCGACATGCATGCACTGTCAGTTCCACGATAATCTCACTGAACAAAGTAGGTCACGTTCCATGCATAATTTTTGTAGACTGATCTGCTGTCCAGGGGGTTACAGGTTGCCGCTAAGTTTTTTTTTTTCTGGCTCGTCTTGCATTTACGTTTTTCTTCCGAGAAAGAGAATGCCTGTGACATAAATTGCAGCACTCTCTGGGGGAGTGGTGTGTTAGACCAGTTTCCTAATGTTTTTGTAGTGTTTAAAGTACTGGCATGCTTAAATATACAACATGCAGAATAAACGGCATTGCCCAACACCCCAATAACATTGCCCAACAGGCCCAATAGCAGTGTGCGAAGGTCAAGTGACTGAAGGTCGATCAAAAAGAATTGAGTTAGTGTGTATATGGATGGTCCGTGGGGAGACTTTCTTGAAACTAACCGCATGCACACATTCTTGATGACATCAAGTCCCAGTGGATATCTACTGCATTAGATTTTAGAACTGGGCAATGGGCGGTGCAAAATCTTAACTGTCATGGTCCACAGTGTCCTGCTATACTATCCAACAAAACACCACTCAACGACCACGTTGTCCCTGTCTTATGGACGTGTAATCCCACCGCCTTCATCTTGAAAGCATTTCGTCGTGCAAGGGCAGCTTGTTTTCTTCTTAGCGTTCACCAGCTGTAAACTCCAGCGGAAAGTTCTGATGGTTTCCTGCACTCCTAGACTTTGATCCAGGAATTGGATTTTGCATGCACATTCGTTATTCATTTATGTATGCAGGCTGTTGGTCTCTGGCATCTGCAGCAGATGCACTACAACTTTGAAGGAAATACTGCTGATTAGTCACCATGTATGAACATGCTTGTTAGGGAGGAAGTAGGTTTTTTCTTGCACAGCATTAAGTAATATGCATCATCAGAAGATGCTGTTATATGCACAGATGGTTCTGTGATTCGCCAGAATCAAAGTGCCAGGACTTTCATGGCAAGAAACAAAAGGAAAGTCATTAAAGAAGACAGTGGAGCCTTTGCTTCTATCACTGGCAGCAGGACAGTGAAGGTCATGGCTATGACAACGGCCCTAGAATGGCTGAAAACTCAGGAGTTCACCAATGCATGTTTTCTCAGCAATTCAGTGAGCATGCTACATAAGTTCAAGGCGGGGTACAGATGGAAATAATGGCTCCATCTGATACAATATGCAGCTTTTTTGCACACAAAAAAAATACAATGAGAGAAGCAGATGCTTTGGCTGCAGTGGGACTATCAGGAATGGGGTCTGTATAGACAGGCAAGATGTTGTCAGTACCATTCGAGAGATAAACGCTGCGAGGCTATCTGTATCATTTAAAATGGTTTTTTTTCACTGAATAGGCTGTGTACTTTAGATGTACCAGTTGGACAGCGAGACGGAAAATCAGGCGGAGCCACCCATTTGTATCAGCCAGAACAGAATGGAAGTTGTTAGCCTAAAAACACTTGCAGTCATATTCAGGAGGAGATCAGAGCACTTATGGTTATAAGCGAGGAAGACGATCTATAAAATGAACAGCATGCTTGTTGGAGGTGGTGGTGGGGGAGGGGGGAGTGCATCTATTCCCGAACATCCCTTCCCCCTCCCCTAATGGGGCCTTGGAACCCACATGATGAAATAATTTTTATTATATAGGGTGTTCTATAAGTCCCCCTACAGTGACTGTGCTTCACACTGACATGTTTTCTCATTACGAACTACACAACTCATATGATTTTTCATTACGAAACTATACAACTCACATGATTGGTACACAGTTATGTGAAAACTTTAACTTTGAAGGGACTCATGGAAAACCCTATAGTTGCCTCAAACAACATGCATGGTTGATTATATTGTTACTATTATTTCCTTGCTTATATGCCTAGGTAACACATGGGTTACTTTTGCATAACAGAAAGAATCAGAAGTTGTGCAGTACAGTGTGATAATAATTTTAGGTTGTCATTGAGAGTAAAAAGTAAAGGACCCTTTTGCAGGCACCTTTAAAACAATAGGGCATATAGGCCTAGACCTTTATTTTGTAGACCAATCGAGCGCAAAATGGGTGATGTGTCAGCATCTACGCCGTTTACTCTACTTCAGGGGACTGCTGGTATCCACTCAAGGCTGTTTCGACCTGGGAGCCACAAAGATTCAGAAAAAAGTCTGGCTCCTCCAGGAAGCTAAGTAGACCTTCCGATCCGCATTGACATCTAGAATCCAATGTTACTCCCTGGTTTTCTTAGTAGATCTGAAATAAAATGTTACTGTGCTTTAGTAGGATAGGAAATCTGAACAGCGGAGGAATCACCAAATATTGGTATGCTCTACAAGAATACAGTCACACACAGTGACAGCTGAGTTAAGTTGAGCTGAGTCATGAATTGACATCACAGCACTTGGGGCATTCCCATGCATGCTCCATCCTCATCTTCAGCAGCCAGCACACGAGTTTTAATACTGATGGTACCGGTCACAGTCTGGTTATATGTCCGTCTTGCCACAACAATTGTAGTGAGCCGTCCAGACCTTCAGTTATTCCCAGGTGCCTCATTCTCTCCAGGTCATAATTATCTTGTTTCTCTACTAATTCCGTTGCTTGTTCCCAAAGAGCCTTGACCACATTTGCCTTGTCATGAATCAATTCACCACCCAGTGACAGTGGCAGCTTCTATGACAAGCCTTCTGGTAAAAATAAATAACCTACACTAGCAACCCAGAATATGGACACAGAGGTTTATTACAACTTTTTATCCCTGTGTGGGTTCTGGGGCCTCATTGTGAGGAAAACAAGAATAGACCCACTGCCTACACAAAAGCATGTTGTAAGAGTCGACTAATCGGCAGCTTCCTTTGAAGTCAGAGTGCATCTGCCTGAGAGGCAAGGAACCAACAGTCTGCATACATTTGAGTCAGACCTGTAAAAATTGAATTTGCACTCAAAACTGAGGTTCTGGAACAGGAGCGCACAAACAGCCAGAATTTCCTTCTAGAATTTACAGCCGATCAACCTGATAAGACAGAGTAAAAGGTTTGGAAATATTCTCTATACAAATCCTACTCTGGTAGAAACAAGCCCCTTTGAGGGTCTAGAGACATACTGAAACCGATGCCCCAGACTTAAGAGTTTAAACTCACTTGTCCAGGATATTCACAATCCTTACTATGAGGCTTCACATTAATACCTGAAAAGTGTGACTAAAATTGCTGTAGCCCTGCCTTTGTCTTGTAACCTGTCATTATTGTTGTTAAGGATGTCAAGAATGCTAAGCATGTGACATCCTGATGCAGACAAACATGGCATTATTATAATGACAGTTTAATAAAGATTGCCACCCCACGCTTGACATTCACCAAAGAGGGGGAGCATTCTGTTATCCATTGTTTGATCAATAAAGGGGTGATCCCACTGGCAGAGATGTGATATACTAGAAAGCCCAGCGCAACAAACCCCTTCTTCTAGCATGTCTACCATCTGTTGTATACACTTCCCAAGGGTTTTTTCAGCCTTGGAAATCGTCTTCATACTCAAAATGATGAGTAGTCTTCATCACCTTTGATTGACAAATAACTTACATGTAAGAATTTGGATTTATGATGTTATATGAATTGTGTCCCTAAATGGTTATGTTTTGATCAGATTGAAAAACAGTGGAGCGAGTTTGAAGAGTTGAGGTTAAAAGTTGCCGGAATCTTCCATGGTACATCGCTGCCTGCTCTTAACAAGATCTCAATCATCGTCAATGATCAAGTCCTTCGACAGAGACGCAACAACCTTGACCAGCTGATGAAGTTCATGGCATCAGTTCCTAGACTGGCTACATGTGTTCCATTGTTGGAGTTTTTGGGTGAGCTCATGATGTAGTCAAGAATAATAACATATGTATGCCAGCTTCTCAAATTTATTGAGATGTGGTTTTAAAATTCCTTGGACAACTAAAAAGAGCAATCCAGATCTTTTGAATGACACGAGGGCTTAAAGACTACTTATCACAAACATCAGAAAGAAAGTCACAGTTTTTTGGTCATGTTATGAGAAGAGCAGTTCTAAAGAAAAAAAAATAATAGGGGCTTTTGAGCTGAAATGCTATAGAAAGTTTCTCAGAATCTCTGTCATCTTGAAAGATCTAAATATCAAGGAATATTAGCTAATAAACAGCATCCTGTCTTGGATGCTGAAATATTTTGGTCATATCAAGCGCCACGACAGATTGGAAAAAATAATACAGAAAGCATGTTACCAGGAAGGAGGGGCAGGGGCTGACCAACACAAAGATGGGCACAGGATATAAGAAACTCCTTGAATATGAAATTACGTGTGGCGGGAGAGCTGGCGATAAACCGAGTTTCTTTCAGGCAGACCGTGATAAGAGCGCCGTTCTGCAAAGAACCTGCTACATCATGAATGATGATGTAAGAAGAGGGAAACTGAAACATGTTGCTACCATTGAAAAGATCTGTAGAGACAGGGTGAGAAGATTCTTGACAGCCTTTTTTGTCATGTCATGGAGGGGTGTCAGCACACGATCTGATGCACACAGTTGCAGATAATAGATTGTGGAGAGGCATGATTGCCAATGCCAGTCGAAGAGGTACTTGATGATGATGATGCCAGATGTACCGACACAGAGAAAACACTGGATGAGGGACCCTCACGTCCAACCCCCTTCTGCCATTCATATTTTTTTTTAAGGAAAACAGAGGTCTCATAGGGCCTAATCATAGTTTAAGAGAATAACAATAATAAACTACACTGAACGGTATATTACACTTGAAAAAATATGAAATTTTTAAATAAACATTTCTTGGCTTGGAGGGAGCAGTTTAACCTCCTTACAAAATTAATGGGTGAAGATGTGGACACTGATCCACCCCCCCCCCCCCAACTCAACCTCTTGTTTTTCGTATCCCATTTTATTGGGAGGAGGGGGTGGCTTGTGGTCTCAGGTTCCAGTACATCTGATATTATGTGTACACAAACTTATCTGTGTAATGAGTACACACAATTATGTGTGTAACGAGTACACAAACTTATGTGTGTAACCAGTACCCAAATTTGTGTGTGTAAGGAGTTTGTTTTCTCTTTGACAGGTTTATTGTCTTTGTTTTCTGAAGTTTATTCTTTGTACACTCTTTTATTGTTTTGATTACATATCATCATCATCATCGCTAATTTCTGTGGTAAATCTTGTAAAATTTTTAAATAGTTCAGTCAAGTTAAAGTCCAGAGGATTGATCTCATTGCCCTGAGGTTGTCCCATATGGCTCGGTTTCTTTCCACATAATGGCTGGTCGCTTGCAGAGAGCATCGCACAAACTCCATAGCCCAAGCAATGATCAGCAGGTATTTTTGTATTAATTGCACTATTGAACTTTACTATGTGTACGTTGAATTAAGCGAGGCAAATAGCTTGATCATTTTATCACAAAGATCCCATATATTTATATATAATATATGCTATAGTTTTTATCTGTTGTCCAACAGGAGTGGATCCAGGAAGGGCTAAGAGATTTACTCAGAGTGAGCCATCGGAGAAAAGCACAGCAAAAAGTGCAAGCAATGACACCAATGAGGAGAACAGAGAAGCAGATGAGTGAGTGAAATGTCAGTGTCATAGAGATACATTCCTACTTTATAAATGATGGTAGATTATTTTTTTTTTTTACATTCCAGAAATCGTATGTATGTTGTTGGTAGATAATGACTGGTTTGTTACATCTCAGAAAATCTACATATATTGTTGGTGGGTGATGATTATAATAGATCTGTTACATCCAAGAAAGTTTACATATATTGTTGGTACATGATGATGATGATGATATATTTGTTACATCCCAGAATGTTTACATATATTGTTAGTAGATGATCATGAAAGATGTTACATCCCAGAGATTCTTCATATATTGTTGGTAGATGATAATGGTAGATTTGTTACATCCCACAGAGTCTACATTTATTGTAGATGATCATGATAGATCTGTTATATCCCACAGTCTACATATATTGTTGGTAGATGATGATAATAGATGTTACCTTCCAGAAAGTCTACATATGCTGTTGGTAGATGATGATGATAATAGATCTGTTACCTCCCAGAAAGTCTACATATGCTGTTGGTAAATGATGATGAAAATAGATCTGTTACCTCCTAGAAAGTCTACAAATGCTGTTGGTAGATGATGATAATCTGTTACCTCCCAGAAAGTTTACATATGTTGTTGGTAATTGATGATTATATATATATTACAACCCATATAGATATATATATATATATATATATATATATATATATATATATATATATATATATATATACTAGCTGTACCCGGCCACGCGTTGCTGTGGCATAGTTTGGCTAAATGAAAATGAAAGAAAATAGAAATTGCACGTGTCTAATACAATCATTGTCTGCTCAGATATAGAGATAGTCTTTGACCCGCCCCCCCCCCCCTAATACCACCACAACTAAATCCACCTACTACTCTCTCCCTCATCAAAGGTTTTTGGAAAAGAAAGACAATGGAAATCGCACGTGTCTAATATAGTTAATGTCGCAATCATTTTCTGCACAGATATAGAGAGAGTCTGGTTTTCCAACTTTAAAACACGCACCTTATAATTGTGTCATTATATTAGTGGTCGTTTAAATGGTGTTATTAGCACAGTAACAAAAATGGTTATTTGGTTATCACATGCTAAAGCTGTTTGTATTTTTATAGGGGACGGAAGTAAAGCTACAACTGTACTTGTGAATAACAAAATAAGTCATAAAAAATAGAAAACCGGAGGTAGCGTTAGTAAAATATAAACAATTAGGTAATGAAAACTTGAAAATCACGTGTAAAGCTCTTTAAGTTCTCTTAAATTTAAGTCATTACCCCCTCCCCTCTTCCACCGACTACTGCTCTCTCCCTCTCCGAAGGATTTGAAAATCATTACCTGGCGATATTTTTTTGTTGCTGTAACTGACATTGACATCCCTGTCCATCCGGACTAAAATGGGGAGCAGGAATTGTAATAGGTAGTGAATGGGGCTAGTGTAATATTTACCACATCATCATTCAAGTACCAGCACAACTACTACCACGACCACCACCACAGTAGCTAAAATAATGTCACTGCTATCTGTGTTACCATCGGAGTAGACGGAGAGTCGTGAGCCAGAAGATTTGGTTCCGCATGGCTAGTGCTGTCGCCACAGACTGGTCAGGTTAGGATGTATAATTTCACTTGCCGACAGAAGAACGCCATAACCTTACCGGCGGTCTTCACATAAGAGCACTATGGTTAGTTAGTTAGTTAGTTAGTTAGTTGGGTTATCATCATTGCACTCCGGACATGTCCATAGGTGCTCAGATCCTCCCCTCAATATGAATCCCAACGTCCGATGGCTAATAGTACCAGTTCTATGTTGATTAACAAGTCTTCTGACGTGTCCGGTGTGCGTCTCGTTTTTTGCTGTGCCGATCTTAATTCCCAAGTCTGCCATTCTGGCGAGTGATGTGGATTCACTGCCACCAAAGTCCTCTATCCTTCCCATTTCTCTGAGGGCATTGATAATATCAGCATGATCCATAGGCCGACCGTCGGTAGTGATAGCGGATCCAGCCAACCTGTCAGCTCTTTCATTTCCATCGACGCCTGCGTGTCCCGGAACACAGTGACTCCTCGCACAGTGGACTTCTGAATTGATTCAAGCCATTGTCTTCGCACTGAACCTGCCTGAACCCTCCGGATCATACTCATTGAATCACTGAGTATACATATGCGGGTGTATTTTTGTGTTTCAAGCCAGGCAAACGCTTGCGTCACTGCCATCACCTCCATCGTCATGCTGCTGGTTGTCATGGAGAAGGCGCCGTTGGCTTCTTTGACTGTTCTGCCCGCTGAGCGTGCTGTAAATGCCCATGCGCTTCTTCTTTGGCGTATAACTAATCCGTCTGTATAGATTAGTGCATCTGCTTCGTCTGAATTTTCACCGATGAGAGCGTTGACCTCTGCATTAACAGCAACAGAATTATCTTCTCTACATCGCCTGTTGAGTGTGACAATACAGGAAAATGTACAAATAAACGCCTGAGGCACAGGTATCCATTCTGCACCAGGTATGATGTCGGTTAGGCTGCATATTTGCCTAATAACATCTTCTGCCCGACCTAGCCACGATTTTCCCCTCTTCAGTCTGTCGCCCTTTTCACTAAAAAGCGCTTGATGCAGTGGGTGTTTCTTATCAGCACATATTTTGAGGTATGCCCGAGCCCTCCACATCCTGATCCTTTGGTTCATTGTTGGAAAGTAGAGCACTATGGTGTAACAGCCCAACCACAACTATTACTGCTACTTTAAGTGGGTAAAGCAGTTACTGTGACTTAAAGCTCTTTCAGTTAACATTTTGCCCCCCCCCCCCCCCCCTAAATTCACCGACAACTCTTTCCCTCATTGAAGTAGTTAGGAGAGAAAAAAAAACCACTTGAAAAGCAAATGAACACAGGAAAAAACCACCATAATTAGGAAATGAACGCTATGGTAAACAGCACAGCTTAAAATTTCAGCGCAGATCAAATAACTAAATCTAAATGAAAAAAAAAATGGAAAGCTATGAAATTTCAGCGTGACCATGCAATCGGAAAGTTTAAAAATGCAATCATAAGTATGCGAAATGGTCTAATTTAATTATCAAATGGTTTACCCATTTACTTCTTTTTTTGTTATTGTTGTTGTATTAAGGGCAACATTGCTATAGTAGATTTGTTACATCCCAGAAAGTGCATATATATTGTTGGTGGATGATGATAATAGATCTGTTACATCCCAGAAAGTCTGCATATATTGTTGGTAGATGATGACGATGGATTTGTTACATCCCAGAAAGTGCATATATATTGTTGGTGGATGATAATGATAGATCTGTTACACCCTAGAAAGTCTTCATATATTGTTGGTAGTTGATGATGTGTTGTTACATCTCATAAAGTCTACATGTATTATGTTAGAGATGATGTGTTTGCAGAAAGTCTACATATGTTGTTGATGATGACCATCTTATCTGAGATTATATCTGTTTCTTTCAGCTCTGAAGTTTATGTTTTTGAAGATAATGCTAATGACCAGGCAGACAGTGATCTTTTTGATGAAGAAGTTGATAATATTGATGAAGCTATCTTTGGAACTGAGCCCATTAGAGGTATGGCCAAGAATTTGTGGATTTTCTAGGCAATTTTACGTTCAGTAGTTTGCCTACTGTCAGCTCTGTGGCTAAGTCGATGCGACTGCTTCGTTATGCCGGGATGCCGAGTTCGATCCCAGCTGCAGGCCATGCACCTTGCCTTGGTTTTGACAGTGGTATCAAGAAAGCCGACCACCCAGAAAGCAATGGCAAACTATTGGACATAAATTTGACTAGAAAAATCACACAATCGTCAGGGGGTGTTGGGGTTGGTTCTGCAATGTCCTGTAAAAGATACGCAACTAACCTAGTTTGCCTACTGAACGGTCAGCTCTCGGTACCACTGTCGAAACCAACGCAAGACAAACCTTTTGCAACTGGTATTAAACCCGTGATTATGAATCACATTCACAATGCCTGTGCCACAGACGTCAACACACATTATGCAAGCAGACTACTGAATCATTCGAAACAGAAATCTGGAGTCTGATGGCGTCTGAACATTACAGAGCTCAATGGATCTCAGAATGATATTGTTCCATCAATTATTTCCTGAAAGTATTTTGCTGCTTGATTAACACTAGCACGCTCTCACCTGCCAGTCTGTCAAGATCTTGTCATAATTTGAAATTATGTAGAACTGTTTGTCCCCATGTGGGTTCTGGGTCCCATTGTGGAGATGGGGCGAGGAGGAGAAAGAATAGCTCTCTAACAAGCAGTGTGTCAGCCAAAGAGGCAAGGAACCAACAGTCTGCATACAAGTAAGTCAAATGGGTGTGCACACAAGACTCAGGTTCTGGAACCTGAGGTGGGGGGGGGGGGGGGGGGAAAGAATAGCCCCCTAACAAGCATGTAGTAATAGTCTATTATTAATCAGGGATGTTTACTTCAAAGTTGGAGTGTGTCAGCCTAAGAGGCAAGGAAGCAACAGCCTGCATACAGTTCAGCCAAATCTGTAAAATGGGTGTGCACTCAAGACTCCGGTTCTGGAACAAGACTAGAGTCGAGAAGTGGTTGAGCAACCAGAACTTTCCGCTGAAGTTTACAGCTGGTGAACACAAAGAAGAAAATAACTGGTTGAATGATGGCTAAACATTTGCAGCAAGTGTTTTTTTTTTGCAGAAAAGAAACAATTACTTTGGCACAAACATGTTCTATTGAGGACAAACAATGAAGATATCAGTAACCTCTAAATAATTGCTGATTTCTTTAACCAAATTCAAATTGATGTCCAAAGTTGTGTGAAAAAGAATGGTAAGAAATAGGAGATGGTGGTGATGTTGATTATTTCTGTGCTTATTATTTTGAGGTTGTTTGTTTTATAATGTGATATGATGTTGTTTACCGCAGCTCAGGTGAGCATGTTTGAGCAGCAGGACATGAAGGCAGAAATCACGGAGGAGGATGAGAAAGATTTTGGCTTTATACCCGATGCTATAATTTCCAAGAAGGAGATTGTTCGAATCATTACAGATGACACTGAAGCTAACTCTGATTTGTTAACGTGAGTTACATTTTCCTTTGGGACAATACTCTTGCTTGTAAATTTTAAATTTTCCTTGGTGATGAAATTAATTTTCAAATTCTGTCTTTTTTTTTTTTTTTTTAAAATTTAAATAGCCCAGTCTGGTGTTATGTTTATTTGCGTGTCTGACAAATAAGTGATCTACACACACCAGTAGAAGAGAAAGAATAATTGGGAAAGAATTAAATGGACAACAAGAGTGCAGACAAATGAGATTCTAAATACTTGTTTTTCATATCCACCATAACATATACAGTAAGTATAACTGGCATTAACAGGACATGTATTTGTTTCAACACCGAGCATGGCACGGTGATTTCGTCACAGGCATGAGAGAAAGTTAAGGCTGTTGAGATGTGTGTAAGGAGATACTCCATACCTCACTTTAGGCACCAGCATGTTCTGGCCTGTGTTACAGATTCTCATTGAAGACTCCTGCCACACATCCTTATTGTGCATTATGGATAATGACCTATACCAGCATAAACCTTACTTCAGAGTCAGAGTGCATTCGCCTGAGAGACGAAGAACCAACAGTCTGCTTAGAAATATGGCAAATCTGTCCAATGGATTTCATGCAAAACCCAAGTTCTGGATCAAGACCGAAGTCCAGAAGTGGACAAACAACCAGAATTGTCTCCTGGGGTTTACAGCTGGTGAATGTAAAGATGAAGAAGAAAAAGAGCATAAACCAAGCTGGCAGTGCTCAGGAATCATCTGGCACTTATCAGACCCTTCCCTGTGCATGGACAGTTCATTTGGAACATGAGTCAAGTCTGCTGGCTGAGTAACCTGCTAAATGACTAACTCAGGTTAAAACTGTCATCTGAAAGTCCCACTGTATGACAAACCTTAAGTCACATTGTTGACCGAGACTCCCACTGTTTGTCCATTGAGTGTATTGATGTGTGACAGCAAAGGTTCAGATTTTCTTCATTTCAAAATGCCACAAAAGGCTCAAATGTTCACTATCAATGGCTACACTTTTCGGAATGTGTTGACCATACAAGAAAGCCATACCTGAAGCATGTTTGCCTCAAACATTCCCACTAATAATGCCTGATACATGCACATAAGATGCCATTGTCAAAGAGAGATGTATAACATACTGAGGAAATGAGGTGCTCATTTGCACAGAGAATCGGAGTCTCAGATCTGCTTCCTGGAGATCTGTGAAGGATGCAGACCATTACATGTATGGGGTCGAGTATACTGATGTGAGGTTAAGCAGTCATGTGCAGGACATGACGATTCCTTGGGTGAGCCTTGTACCAGAACTCCATGTATTTTTATTTATGGAATCCTCCTTGAACGGCAGGAAATGTTCATGCTCTGCCCCTGCCTTGGGGGTCAACCAAGCTGCATGTGGATACCTGGACACTCCTCTAGGGACAACCTGTGTGGATTAGGGAGAAGACGAAGTCACCACACACGAGGCTTCAAATGTCTCACAAAATTCACAGGGAAGGCTAACCCAGATAATAAATACCTGAAGAGATTCAATGTTCTAGCCAAAAAGGGCAAATATCACAGCTGTGCTGTAAACAGACATAATGCATTTATATCACTTAGATGATTATGAAAAAGAAGAAGAGGAACACTGAGCACTGAAATCATACTTATGACATGTACTATTTTATCATATGATAAAAATTTGCTAAGACAATGAGGGAGACTTTTCTGAGCAAAAAAAAAAAAACTGTTGAGAATATGAGGAAGGGTCATAACCAATGGCTTCACCCCACTCTTGGGACTAATTTATTTTCTGAGTGATGTTTTCATATTTTGGTGGTCTGGTAAGATTCTTCTTCTTCCACCCTTTACCACACCCCCTCCCCCCAATGGAACATAGGCCCTCAACCAACTGAAACCAAGTTGTCCTATCCTTTGCTATTGCATGCAGCTCACCTCATGTCCCTTCTTGTCTTTTCAACTTCATTCTCTAGATCCCTTCTCCATTATTTGGGGCAAGGGGAGGGGGAGGGTCCTCCTTTAATTCTTTGCCCATGTGGATTCTAGCGTGAAAGAATTCTGGTAGTATTGTTCTCAGGTTTTCTCAACATACCTTTTTTGACTTTTTCATGGCTTTCTGATAAGATTACTGACCAGAAATATGAAAGACAGCCTGGTAGTAATTCCAGACCAAGTCATTCAAAACATTACTGGTTGAAAAAGAAAACATGGAACACAGATGAAAATAAAATATGTCCTTCCTTTCTTCTGCAAAGTAGTTAATATCTTTTGCAGAATAATGACCCTTGAAGATGACTTAACAGATATTTTCTTTTTATATGTTTTTATTTACAGAATTGAAGATGATCTGGATAAACTGATGACCATTGATGTTAGCAAACAAGGAAAACAGCCTCGACTGAAAGAAGGGAAACCATTATCATCACCGCCACCATCATCAGTTGTTAAACCAAACATCTCAGCCAAACCTTCTCCGGCACCAAAACCTGCTGCCAGACCAAGCTTTGACAAGAAACCTGAGGATTCCAACCTCCCCCATGCAGAAGCAGCAGCTAAACCTGCTGTTGCTGACAAGCCAAAGCCTGGACACAAACCTCGGACAAGTGTTAGTCAGACTTCGGCCAAACTTCATTCGAGTGTTGGTATCCAGCAAAGTAGTGTAGAAAGCACTCCTAATAAACAGTCAGTTCCCCTCAAAGCAGATATGACAGGGAGATCCACACAATCTGATAGTGTGGGCACATTTGATCAGGATGACATACTAAAATATTTAAATGAAAATGCGTCTGCTGCTGATGATGTTGACCTATTTTCATAATTGCCTTTAATGATTCGAAAAAGTTTAGAGTTCGAAAACCAAGAATATCCATTATTACTTACTGCCTGTGAATGACTAGCAAGTGACTAATTACTTACTGCCTGTGAATGACTAGCAAGTGACTAATTACTTACTGCCTGTGAATGACTAGCAAGTGACTAATTACTTACTGCCTGTGAATGACTAGCAAGTGACTAATTACTTACTGCCTGTGAATGACTAGCAAGTGACTAATTACTTACTGCCTGTGAATGACTAGCAAGTGACTAATTACTTACTGCCTGTGAATGACTAGCAAGTGACTAATTACTTACTGCCTGTGAATGACTAGCAAGTGACTAATTACTTACTGCCTGTGAATGACTAGCAAGTGACTAATTACTTACTGCCTGTGAATGACTAGCAAGTGACTAATTACTTACTGCCTGTGAATGACTAGCAAGTGACTAATTACTTACTGCCTGTGAATGACTAGCAAGTGACTAATTACTTACTGCCTGTGAATGACTAGCAAGTGACTAATTACTTACTGCCTGTGAATGACTAGCAAGTGACTAATTACTTACTGCCTGTGAATGACTAGCAAGTGACTAATTACTTACTGCCTGTGAATGACTAGCAAGTGACTAATTACTTACTGCCTGTGAATGACTTGCAAGTGACTAATTACTTACTGCCTGTGAATGACTTGCAAGTGACTAATTACCTACTGTCAGCCACTGAAGCATCATAACTTATTGCCAGGACTTAACTTCAAGCAGTAGAGATGTAGAAATAAACTGTGAGTTATTCATATATGTTAAACATAGACAAACATGTTTACAATCTGGCAAACTGCAGTTGTAAAATATTTGCAGTATCACATATGTAATTATAATAATTATGTATGTACCCTCAGCATCAGATGTGTAATTAAATCTGCCAAAAATGTTCTAAATTCTAGCAGTTATTGAGAATATATCAATTACCTAGGATCTGTCAGTAAATGATTATCTGTAAGTTAGCAAGAATCTGTCACTTGCTGAGTTTTATCTAAAGAAATCTTTCAGTCAGTGAGAATCTATCAGTTGATGAAGATTAACTAAAGAAATCTTTCAGTTGATGAGAATCTATCAGTTGATTAGGATTAGCTAAAGAAATCTTTCAGTTGTTCAGAATCTATCAGCTGATGAGGATAAGCTAAAGAAATATATCAGTTAGCGAGAATCTGTCAGCTGTTGATGATTAGCTAAAGAAATCTTTCAGTTAGCGAGAATCTGTCAGCTGATGAGGATTAGCTAAAGAAATCTTTCAGTCAGTGAGAATCTATCAGTTGATGAGGATTAGCTAAAGAAATCTTTCAGTCAGTGAGAATCTGTCAGTTGATGAGGATTAGCTAAAGAAATCTTTCAGTCGGTGAGAATCTGTCAGCTGATGAGGATTAGCTAAAGAAATCTTTCAGTTAGCGAGAATTATTCAGTTGATGAGGATAAGCTAAAGAAATATATCAGTTAGCGAGAATCTTTCAGTTGATGAGGATTAGCTAAAGAAATATATCAGTTAGCGAGAATCTTTCAGTTGATGAGGATTAGATAAAGAAATATATCAGTTAGGGAGAATCTATCAGTTGATGAAGATTAGCCAAAGAATATCATTTAGTGAGAATCTATCAGTTGATGAGGATTAGCTAAAGAAATCTATCAGTTGATGAGAATCTTTCCTTTGGTGAGAATCAATCAGTTGAGTATCCGTCAGAAAGCCCCCCCCCCCCCCCCCCCACAAAAACCCACCCACACACATCATAATTACATGAAGCAAGCATGGAACATTACAGCCATGATTTGAGATGTGTAGAATTAGGCAAAAATAAAGTCAAACATGTCTGATAATGCAGTCTCAACTATCGGTAAATTTTATATTCCAGTAATTTGAGGTGCTGTTTGGTATAACAAGAAGAAGAGATAGAGAAGCAAGTCTGTTGTATCTGCTGACATCTTGAGCCAGATGTTTGAGGCAAGATGTAACCAGAAATTACATGTAAGCCCAATCAGGCTCACCTGTACTCTAGATTTGAAGATATATTGACATAGGCATGAAATATAAAAACCCTGGTCCATCACTAATAGAACATTTTACATCTCTGAAACTAATAGCTTTTTTCATATGTAAATATTTCTTCCTCTTTGACAGACAATATTATATATTAATTTATCATGTATTTCTTCTCTTATTGACAGACAATATTATATATTAATTTATCATGTTTTTCTTCTCTTATTGACAGACAATATTATATATTAATTTATCATGTATTTCTTCTCTTATGACAGACAATATTATATATTAATTTACCATGTATTTCTTATCTGACATTTGAATTTACCACTTATTTCCCAGTTCTGTATTTTGATGTGCAATGTATTTCTCAAAATAAAATACGTTATTACCTAACAAGTATTTACTAATTCCATATTTAACACATGCACACTCACACATATTTTAATTGGTTTAATGTATTTCCTAATGTATATTCTATTTACTAATTATATCCAAATTTTTCATTTTAATTTTGCATCATATACTTTCTTATTGCATAAGGCACAACATTAGCAAACAGCTCAAAGTGGAAATCCTGAGAACATGCAGCTTTTCTGTAGCAATATACAGATGTGAGCCATGGACTGTTTTGGAATAACTTTTCTTCCTCATTTTCACTGGCTGTAAACTCCCGCGGAAAGTTCTGGTTGTTCGTCCACTTCTGTATTTTGATTTTGGTCCATAACTAGCATTTTATATGCACATCCATTTTACAGATGTTGCTTATTTGTATGCAGACTGTTGGTTCCGCTTAAGCAGATGCACTTTCACTTCTAAAGAAACACTCCTAGTTAGTCTCCCTTTTCAACAAGCTTGTTAGGGTGGCAGTGGGTCTATTCTCTTTTTCTTCAAAATGGTGTTCCAGAATCCACACAGGAAGCATTTGTAATCACTAAAAAAACAAAACTCGTCCTTTTAAACTTTTAAGTTAGAGGAAGATTCTAAGAGTGTCATGGACCCAAAAAAGGAAATATTGACATTTCCGTTACAGTCTAAACATAGAGGAGAATTGGCACATAAACAGCATAATTTCTTGTAAATTGAATAACATCAGCCATATTAAACACCATAATGGTTTGGAGAAAATAGTCGTGGATGGTATGGTTCCTGGAAGAGGAGGCAGGGAATGACCAACATGATGGTGGACACAGGATAAAAAGTACACACTGGGCATAAAATTTCACTAGACTGGGAATTTAGCTAGACCAGAGTGGCTTTCTCATGTCATCATCATGTAGAAGGTCCTTTGCAGAACGTCGCTCTCATCACAGTCTGCCTGAAAGAAACTCGGTCTCTCACCAGTTCTCCCGCCTCATGCACTTTCACACTCAAAGAGCCACTTATATCCTGTGCCCATCTTTATGTCGGTCAGCCCCTGCCTCTCCTTCCTGGTACCACGCTTTCTGCTATAATTTTTTTTCTCATGTGCCGTGATGAAAAATAACTTCTGTAAAGGACCTTGAACATGATGATGATTTTCATATGGTACTAAATATTTAACTGATTTATATGGTTAAAAACAATACCAAACAGTTGAATCATATTCAGTGAAACATCTGAGTTAAGTTGTGATACAGGGCTCAAGAAAAGAACCACCATATCCAAGAATTTTTTTTACACGAATGAGCAGACATGACAAACAGAAATATCATGACAGAGGTACACAGTTCTACTTACTGAAAGATGGGTGTCGCCTGCTTTATATGCTTATGTGAATGCTGGACAAACATGCAATGGAATAGAGAAGGAACTGGAGGTAGATGTTGTTTTTGAGAAGAAAGTTGACAAAACTGTGGCTGGGAAGAATAGAATTGTCACCACTTGTTTGCTTGTGTTCAACTTATTTTTGTTAAAGCATTTCACTGATTTGTTTAATGCTGTTTGTTCAGCTGGTTTATATAAGGAATTTCATGACTTGTTTGTATGTATGATACATTTGTTCAGCTGTCTAAAGAATTTTCTTATCTGTTTGTGCATATAAGACATAATGTTCCATTGGCTAATGTAAAGAAATTTGTTTACTTGTTTGTCCATTATTAAATACCTTTTAATAAGAAAAACTGACTTGTTTGTCCGTATAAATTTCTCTCATCTGCTTGTGTAAGGAATTTCATTAACTCGTTTGCATAATTCTAAGGTCACCAGCGAGACTGATTTAAAACATTGAAATAAACTACCCACACACAAAAATGAACATTTATAGCACAGTTGAGTTGAGTTAAGAACTCACAGAACTTAAGGCAAGTGCTCTGTCCCCATCTTCAGCAGGCAGCATAGAGATTTAATGTCAATGATGCCAGTAGCATTCTGATTATACGTCCGTCTTGCTTTTTCTCTGAGCACCAAGTATCGGCCTGATTTCTTTGCCACTCCCTGCTGCATCACTCTCACCAGTCTGGCAATCCATTTGCTCCCCCCAATTGTACATGTTCTCCCACAAGGTCCTAAATATTTATAGCAGTGTACCTACATTATGGAGGTTGTTCAATGGGGCTGCAGAGCATGTGCTTTGTGCTGATGTTCTTCTTGTATGGCTTGCAGAAAGGGGTTAGAAATGTGCACTACTGACTCCTTTACAAAACTCAATTCTGATGGTCATCAAGTCAGCTCTCCTACCTTGGACACACCTCCACCGATCGTATTTTCAGCTTAACAATGTTTAGTTGAAAGAACTCCCCAAAAATATCACTTAGAAAGTGACATGAAGGTTAAGCAAAGCTGAGAAAACAATGATAGAGAAAACAAATCACTCACACAGAATCATAAGATGCAGAAACAAATTCTTTCACACAGAGGTATAAGATGTGGAGAAAACAAATCTTTAACACAGAAGCAGGAGATGTCGAGAAAACAAATCTGTCATTAAGAAGCATGAGATTTAGAAAACAAATATTTCACACAGAAGCATGAGATGTGGAGAAAAC